GTGTGTGTGTGTGAAGCTGTTGGCTGGTCTGTTCTCCTGGTATCTTTGTGCTATCTATCAGATGTAGCCGAAAGTCCTGTCCAGCGAAGTATATGGGATTGAAAAAACTCCGTGCCGTGTTCCGGTTTTTTGTGGGGTTCTCGTCTTGGAGTGGAGACAAAAAAGTTGGGGGAATGGAGGTGCATTTTGTCAAAGTTTTTAATCTGTTTTGGGGTGGGTTATTTGTGTGCGTGTGTGTGTGTTTTTTGGGGTTTTTTTTAGTTTGTTTGGGGTTTTGGGGGGGGGCTTTTGAATGTTTTTTGCCCATCAGAAGTGTTTAAATGTGTGTGAGGAATACGATCTCTCATTTTCGTTTTTGGATTTTTTTTTTTTTTGGGGGGGGGGGATGGGCGTTTTGTTTTGTTTGTGGGGGGGTTATGTTTATTTGTTTTTTGTGTGTACTTTGGATTTGTCGCTACTTTTGTGATGGGAAAGAGGCGGGGGGTGTTTGTCAGTGTAAAGGGATTGCGTACGTTTATATGTGTATATATATTTATATATTGTCCGCCGGAACCGTATCTTATTTTCCATACCCTAGTGCTGTATTCGATGCTGATTTCATGGAAACGTGTACCTACTGGCAGGGCACCTGTGGCCCCCTACCGTTCTCGTAGCTTTCGTTGAGATGAAGATTATGAACGAAAGGGAACTGTGAATTCGCCTAACCAAAGAAATTGTCGGTGTGTTGTCAACGCTGTTCACTTTCGCTTTTTGGAACAAGGAACGTTCGGCCAGTTTGTTGGCCCGGTTTCGCCAAGAGCAAGCGTTCCGAAGATATCTGTGGATTGGTCGTCCGTGTTGAGCCCAGCCGTCGCTGACTGGCTCACTGGCTGACGGACCGACTTACAGACTGACTGACCCTGCACTCTCCCGAGTCCTCTTGCCGTGTGCTGTCCCCCAGTGAGTATCCGCGCGTGGTGCGCGTGCGTGCCGTCCCCATGCCTTCCTCCACCGTCATCCAGCACTTTCACCACGATAACAGTGCCGACGTCACTGGTGGTGGCGGTGTCCTTAGCAACGGGACGGGTGTCAACGACAACAGCAGTGCCGACGTCACGAGTGGCGGCGTCCATGGCAACGTGGCTGGCGTCCACGATGATAACGGTAACGTGAAATGTTCTTCTACGGAGACCGAAGTGCAGTGTTTGAGCCTAGAATCGAATGGTAACGTGAAACGTTCCGATTCGGAATCAAGCAGCGAAGGGAATCGCCCCGATTCGGAAACGAGCAATGAAATAAAACGTTCCGATTCGGAATCAAGCAGCGAAGGGAATCGCCCCAGTTCGGAAACGAACAATGAAGTGAAACGTTCTGATTCGGAATTATGCAACGAAGGAAGTTGTCCCGATTCGGAAACGAGCAATGAAGTGAAATGTCTCAGTTCTGAAGTCAATGACGTAAGCTCTGATGTAAATGGCAACATGAAATGTCCGAGCCCGGAAGCTGACGGCGGAGTGAAATGCCACAGTCATAAGGATGTCAATGATGCCGACTGTAGTAGTCTTGAGGTCAGCCATGACGTAAAAAGTGACGTCTGCGAGGTCAGCGATGACGTAAAAAGTGACGTCTGTGAGGTCAACGATGACTTTGAATCCGGGACATCTGGAGACAGCGATTACGTCATATGCCCTACTCCGGAAGACAGCCTCGAGGTCGAAGAGGAAGCCATAGCCGTCTGCACGGAGATTGATGACGGCGACAAAATATGTGGGAGTTCTCAGGTCAGCAGATTGGTCGAATCCCCCAGCAGCAGGGTAGGCGTTGACGTCACTGAACGGTTCTATGAGACGTCTGATGACGTGGTGAGCCGTAACCTTGAGACAAAGTCACGGCGGGGCAGCAGGGTCAAGGCCAATTCAGACCTATTGGATATGGAGCGTCTGCTGAAAAAGCTCAAAGCTGGGGTAAGAGCCAAAGGGAGGAACGGTGGGGTTATGTGTGTGTTGGGGGGGGGGAGTCTTGACTGTGTCTCCAATAATGCGGTTGTTGTCGTCAGCATCGTCACTGTTGTTGTGATCTCTGAAACTTTGTTTATTTTGTCGTCGTGGCTCTTTGTGGGTAGTTGGCGGGTGCTCTGGAGTAGTTTTCTCCTGTGTTATTTCTATCAAACGTCTTTCGTTCTTCTTTATTCTTTTTCTTACTCGCTTATAACGCCTTCGGCTCGAAATTGACCTAATAGTGTTGCAAGTGCCCTAAAAATGTTACCAAAAAAGCAGCATCAATCATCTTGCATGTGGACGGTTGGAAAATGTCATTTGGTAGCAGGCTCAGGCACCATAAATCCCCCGCCCCCACCCGCACACAAACACACCCCTCTCCCTGCACACACTTTCTTACCGCGGTTTTTATCTGCCAATCTCGCGCGGTTTGTTACCCCCGGCTTGTGGTCGGCTCGCTGTGACAGATGTGTAGAATTAGTGGCTCTGTGGGAGGGGGGTTGTGGGACGCCACTGGCAGCTCTAACTTCTCTTACTGTGCTTCTATTTATTTCTGTTCGTATTGCTTGCTTAGCTCCTCCACCCCACCCCAACCCCCTTACTCCCCTCGGATAGACTGGTGGTTTCCTGGTCTATTGAGCCTGGAGCTCTGGATCTGGAAATGGTACTGTTTTATTTGTTGTTGTTGTTGTTGTTTTTGCTATTGTTTCTTTTAGGGGTATGTTGTTCATCATTACGGGTGATTGGGGGGCACCACTTGTAGATCCTTCTTCATTTGCTCCCTTCTGTTCTTTCTGTTTGTCTGTCTTGCTTTCCCCCAACACGAAATGACTGTCTACGTGTCTATGTGCTTCTCTGTACTCAACCAAACAAGCAATCATCGTTATTATTTGGGTTGGGAGGGGGGGTATTATTTTTTGAAGATTTAATTAATTAATTATTTTTAGGCCGAGGGGGGTGGTCTTTCCCTATTAATGATAGCTATAAATACTCCTTTAACCATTTTGCTTACAGACCTGCTATATAGTCTTATCGAAGAGCTTATGAATCTTGAGAGAGGCAGCGAAGGGGTTTCAGGTTTAAGTACTTACTAAGGCGACGTGGTTATTTCGAAGATACCGTGAGTAATTGTTCGGTTTCTGTCTGATCTCACTATTATTTTCATGATGTGTCGGGGATCAGGCTGGGGTAGGGGTATGTAGGTGAGGGGGTGGGGGTGGGAGGGTATTTCCTAGACTAAGTAGGTGTGTATGTTTGTGTGTATGTGTGTGTGTGTGTAAGTAAGTAAGTAAGTAAGTAAGTAAGTAAGAGGGGGTGCTATTCCCCCAACTAAATGTTTGTGTGTGTGTGTGTGTGTGTGTGTGT